CAAAATCATCACAAATAGGTCTACAATCACAGTTCCACCCTACTTAAACTGACATTTAGGAGACTTTGGCTTAATTTATATAATGCATTATTCAACTTAACCAATATCTTTGCCCATGTGTAGCTTAGTTTCTACATCTGCCCATTTATAGTTTAGTTTCTACATTGCCCCAACCTTTTCTGGTTGTGAACTGTTGTTGCTAGATGCCATCGAGTGAACAGTTAAACAAGTTAACAGAATTACTTATTAAAAGCTTACTTTCTTTAATGAAGGAAGTCTATGGAAAAAGTAGTATCAGCCTGAGAACAATGGTATTTCTTCTCAAGGTCTGGCATCTTGTTTGACTGTGCTGTTCTATCTGGCTCCTACTTGTCCTCATAAATCTGGGGCAGACCTACGTGTGGTGCATGCCAAGTGGAAAGGCTAGACCGTGAGTCAGAAACGGTGAGGGTGAAAGTTTGCATATTAACCTCTCTTTTCTACCCACTAAACCACCAGTTGTCGAGTCTTTGTTCTCTCATTCTCCCACCCTCAGGCTAGGAATTTTCCTTAATTGCCATTCCCTGCCACATTAGTTTTAGAAAGGACGTGGAGAATGTGGTCCCAAAAGATGCTCAGTAGCAAGTACTCCTATCACTTAACTGAGCCAAGCACACCCAGGATGATCCTACCTTCCGTCACTGATGAGGCAGAGAACACACCTGGTCTACTCCATTTCAAGACTCATCAAACGGAAAGCTCAAGTGTTCTCCAAAGAAAACCCAGTGTTCTTAGACATGTTCCTAGACACTAGACATGCTCCACATCAATTCCTTGCTTTTGAGAAGTACAAAGTCCTACAGGTATCGACCAGAGATAGCTAAATATCACCAGGGTATGGAGAGACACTGTGGCTACCACAATGGCCTCACACATAACGGTAATGGTGTAGGAGCGGATAGAGTTTTGTTCTGTTGTTCATGAGATTTCTATAAGTTACAACTTATTTAACAACACATAACAACAACAAATAGATAACTACAAGACATAGTACCCATCAAAAGCACAGTAACAATCACCAAAGCCAAACCCTTAAATCTAAACACAATTACTTAAACTATATCAGTTACTCTATCAATTCCCATATTCAAGGACCAAACATTCACTCAGCCACCAACCTCCTGCCTCACTACTATCAATATTACAACTAAGAATTAAAATTCCTGGCATTTAAAGCAAGACAATTCTTTGTTGGGAGGACATTTAACAGCACCCCTGGCCTCTACATACTAAATACCAATTACAGCATATATTCTGCTTTCCCTCTGCCCTCAAGTTTTGTTGTTGTGGTTGTTGTTATGTGACATCAAGTTGTTCGTGACTCATAGTGACCCTACGTGTAACATCTCTGAACCCGGCCCTACTGGTGAAAAAATAGTGTCTTCAGACACTGGAAAATATCTCTGGATAGAAACCACATCATAAGCCCCACCACCCTACCCCAATCTGAAATCTACTTTCAATGAAAGAGGATGTGTGCTCTATTCTTAGCCTTATAAATGACATGGAGAAAAACACACTAAGATGAGTCCCTCTCTTCAACTATGGAAACACTGTATTGACTTCCTTCCTTTTACCTTGCAGTCTCCACAAAGTCAGTGTGAAGAGATAGTATGTGAGTAGCTTGTGAGGGAACTTCAAGTGGTACAATTGCAGTGCTAGCAGAGATAAAAAGAACTGTAGAAGGCCATCAAAATCAAAAGGATTCCCTGGGGAACCTTCTCCAAAGGTAGCCTAAGTACACTAATCTTTGGTGAATTTTTAAAACATTTTGTTAATTGTGACCAAAATAATACCTTAGAATTTGGAAGTGTTAGATCCTGAAAGCTTTGTAAAACCGGATTCTCTTCCTCACTCGAAAGTTCACTGCTGTGGAGTCGATTCATAGCCACCCTCACTGGGTTCCGAAGGCTATAAATCTTAATGAGAGAAGACTGCCTATCTCTCTCCTGCAGATCCACGTGGGTATACAGGGCCTTTTGGTTAGCAGCGTAACACACTATAGACTACATAAGAGGTCCTCTGTTTATTAGGCCAGGATGTGGTGATCTCTCTCAAGTACAAAGGCTTTAAACAAAGCAAAATTAACATGCACATTCATGCTCATCCGCAATCACAGTAAAGACTACTGGGAGTACCGACATCCAAATTCAAAATGTACCGGGAGGGGGAAGTGTGCTAAGAATTGTGAAATGGGAGAGCCAAGTCTGGTGTACTCATTCCATGTCAATGAACAGAGGACACTGGGCCATGATGGCGGAGTTCCCAGAACAGAAATTCACAAGGGCAATTTGATTAAAAAAAAAAAAAGTCCAAACATGAAATGACAAAACAACAGTCTGGAAATGCTTTTGACTAGATTCATCATTTCAAAATTACCCAAATCAGATAAATACAAATGGAAGTTCCATAACGAGATTTTAAAAATCAGAGAGAAATGTCTACAGCCAGATGAACAAGCAAGAGACTGGAGGAATCACTTCAAAAAAGGGGAAATTTACTTAGAAACAAACATGGGCACACGTGCAACCTCTCAACCGTCAGACACCTGCACCTGATCCAAGCTAATGGGATTTCAAAGCCACAGCTTCTCCTGCTCTCCACCAGGTAGAGGGGGCAGTTGGGACCTGGAACAAGTTTTCCGAAATCACTTTTGCAAGATACACCAAAATTTATTACAATGATCATCCATTTCAACTTAGTGAAGTCATCTCTGGAGATGCAGGAAAAGATACAATAGATTGAAAAAGCTTTAAATATTAATGTAGGCTTTTCAGTGCTGTGATGGAAATCTGACTAGTCCAGTGATTTAGGGCTGATCAAGCAGATGCTGAGGGACCTCTTTGCTAGAACTGCTGTTGTTGTTGTTGTCTGCCGTTGAGTCGGAACCAACTCATAGGTGACCCTCCAGTGGGTTTTCAGAGACAGTTAATGACATGGATGGGGACTGCCCATCTTCTTCCCAGAGCTTTGCTAGTATCCAAACAGAAATGTTAAAAAAAAAAAAGGTATGTTATCTAAGTAGCAAATAAACAATATTCATAATCCAAGACTGGTAGTGGCCTAGTGGTAAGAATCTGTGCTGCAATCACAAAGGTATCCAGTTCGAATCCACCAGCTGCTCTGCTGGATATGCATTCTCCTGTGTGCTTACTGGGTCTGAAAACCCACTGGAAGGTCAGCTACGGATCACTGCTGACTCAGTGGTACACAACAGCAGGTTCAAATACAGCATGCAAAATATACCTCGTTATAATTTTAATTAAGAGTATGTACATATTCCAGTTTTATACATCTAACATGGGAGCATTCAGACTAAAATATTAACTGTGATTTTAGAGGGATTAAGTAAATTTTTTTAAACTCTCTTCTTTGCATTTTTGCAATTTTATGTTTTAAAATTTTAAAAATTAAATGTAAAAATGTTTCACTGTAACTCTCAAAACACACTGTGATTTAGTAAAAAACAACTCACAACTGACCTTCCATTGGGTTTCAGAGACCATAAACTGCAGGAGAGAAGACTGCCCATCTTTTCCCAACAGAGTGGCTGGTGGATTTGAATCACCATAGAGAGGCAGTCATTGGGTTAGCAACTCCCTATCAACAACACCAATAGGTTTTGAAACAAATCATGTGACCCAAACTATGCTGGAATGGGTCCTTCCTTGTGACTATTTCTTACTCCAAAGTTTTTCTTATGATTAGATACTGTCAAGTTGACCCTATGAACAACAGTTCTGAATCCTGTCCTATTTTGTGCCGTCCTCATCATCTCTGGCACACTAAAGCCCACTGCTGCAGCCAGCAGGTCAATCCATCTTGAGGAGGGAATTCCTCTCTTTTACTGACCCTCCACCCTTCCAAGTATGACATTCTTTTCCAAGGAATAGCCTCTCCTAGTAACATGTCCAAAGTATGAGAAATGACGTTTCACCATCCTTGCCTCCAAGGAGTACTGACTGCACCTCTTCCAAAACATACCTAAAACCATTATTACCTAACACTCCAAAGTTACAAGGGCCAAAAGAATAGGAGATAAAGTCATGTCTGCTATTTTATTACAGACTCTCAATTTTTAAGTTACCTCAATGGCAACTATCAGAGTTGTTCTTTGGGTTTTACATTACAACTCAACAAACATTAATTAAACAAAAAATTAATTAATTGTTAACAAAAATTAATATATCACTACTTTAGGAAACAGTTCTGGTAGCACAGGTTAAATGTTGGATTGTTCACCAAAAGGCTGGCAGTTTGAAGCCACCAGTGGCTCAAATGGGAAAACATATGAATCAGTCTCCTAATAAGATTTACAGCCTCAAGAGCATTGTCGTGGATTGAAATGAACTCAACAGCATTGAGTTTGGTTCTGGGTAAAAGAATGAAAGCTAAAATAAATACAGCCTATTAGAGAGCTCCGATGATTGGCCAAAGGAGCTGCGCTGTCAGCCGAAAGGCATGAAGTTTGAATCTACCAGCTGCTCCATGGGAGAAAGATGGGCACTCTCCTCCCACGTGATTAACTGCTTCTGAAAACCCCGGGAAGGATCAGCAAGAAACCAATTCCAACTCTATGGTACATTAACAACAACACTTAAGATTTTTCAATCTTGAAACAAAGACCAGTAAATCAGTATCAAATGGCTTTTTTGCCACATCTGAACTCCTCTCTCCCCTCATTTCCTTACACAAATCTCTACAGGCTACAAATCTCTAAAGACCAGCGAAAGCAAACGCAGTATAAAACTCCTACAGTGGGACAGCTTCCATGGTCTCGTGAAGGGACCTGGACCCCAGCACCTCGAATCGTCTACTGAGCTGCATGCCTATATCTGGTATCAGCGATGCATCTTTAAGGGCAACTCTGAGCAGCACATGAAAGCAGGCAGCAGACTGAGAAGCACTGAGCAAAAGATCCCAAAGCATTAAAAAAGAAAGAATATAAACCATCAACTGACCTCATATATAAAATACACTTTGGCTCCTACGTAGATTCCCATGCGCACCACCGCGCGAACAGCAGCATTCATACCTGTGGAGGGAAACGTCAAGAGTCATTATTTGAAAATTTGGGTTTAGATGGGACTTGTTGTTGTTGTTATGTGCCATCAAGTCACCTTCAACTCATAGTGACCCTATGTACAACAGCCCTAAACCCTACTCTATCCCTTGACAATTTTATTGTCTCCGACATGCCTATCCCCATTACCCCAGTTACTGAAACAATCCATTTCATCGAGGGTTTTCCTCTCTTGTGCTGTCCCTCCCACCCTCCCAAGCATGACGTCCTTCCCCAAGGACTGGTCCCTCCTTGCAACATGTGCCAAGTAGGTCAGATGAAGTTTCAGGACCCTTGCTTCCAAGGAGCAGCCTGATCTCACCCTCTCTAGGATGAACTTGTTTGTTCTCCTAGCAGTCCATGGTATATTCAATACTCTTCTCCAACACCACAGCTCAAAGGCATCAGTTCTCCTTAGATCATCCCTAGTCATTGTCCAACTCTCTGAGGCAGAGCAAGTGATTGCAAAAACCATGGCCTGCCTGGATCAGGTGCACCTTAGTCTCCAGACTAACATAGTTTTTCTTCAGTACTTTAGAGAGGTCTCTGACAGCAGACTTTCCCAATGCAATTTGTCTTTTAATTTCCTGGCTGCTGGTACCAAGAGTGTTGATTGTGGAGCCAAGCAAACTGAAGCTATCAACAATCTCAATCTCTTCATCATCTATCATGATGCTGCCAATCAGCCCAGTGGTGACTAGGTTTAAAGATCTAGTTCTGTTTGACCTTAGGGTAACTGAATAACCTGTCTTAAGTCTTAATTTCCTAACATGAAAAATGACTATATGACGTATCCCCTGGGTAACTATAAGGATTAAGCAAATCAAGGATTATAAAGTCCTCAACCATTCACTCCTATAAGAATACTTATGACTGACTCAACAAAGTCCATCAGGTTTCTAACCTGTAAATCTTTGAGGGAGGTAACTGCCCAGCTTTCTCTCAAGGAGTTGGGGGATTAGAACCACCAGACCTTTCAGTTGGCAGCCCCAAAGCCAAGCACTACATCACCAGGGTTGCTGATAGACCAACCACCACCATCAACTCACAGATTCTGACTCACAGAGAGAGACCAAGGCTGTAAATCTTGGCCAGAAGAAGCTGTTCGTACTTCTCCTGAGAAGCCTCTGGTGAATTTGAGCCCTTCATCTTTCAGTTAGCAATACAACATGTAAGATTTCACTAATAAATAAATTGTTGTTGTATACCATAGAGTCAGAACTGGCCTATAGTTGACCCTTCAGTGGGTTATCAGAGGCACTTAATCACATGGAAGGAGATTGCCCATCTTTCTCCCTCAAGGCAGCTGGTGGTGGATTCGAACCACATGCCTTCTGGACTGCAGTGCAGTCTCTTGCCTCTAGGCCACCAGAGGTCCAATAAACACATCCCATTATAAAATAACCCATATAACACATTTAGTTTAGAATGTCACTGCAAACACTTCTGCAAAACAAAAATGAAGTAGGAGGCACAGAATGTCACTGCAAACAGACCTTTTCAAGTAACAGTAAGTTTGGTTTGGATTTGTGAGGAACTACATCCAACTGCAAAAAAACACAAGAGGACTGCTTTTTATTTACATTTCTCTAAAATAGAAAAGACACCTCTGTCTTGGAGGAAGTGTAACCAGAAAGCTCTTTAGAAGCAAGGATGAGGAAACTTTGTCTCACATATTTTGGGGCATGTTGCTAGTAGAGGACAGTCCTCAGAAAAGACGTCATGCTGGTAAAGGTGGAGGGTCAGAGAAAGAGAGGAAGCACCTCGTGCCCCGCGCCCCCCGTGGACTGACACTGTGACTGTACCAGTGAACTCAAGCAGTGTAGATGTGAGGATGGCTCAGGGTAGGGTAAGGTTTAGCTCTGCTATTCACAGGGTCTCTCTAACTCATAGCTGGCTTGATGGCGCCTAACCATGACAACAACACAAAATCAAAAGAATATAGCACCGAATTTAACAACTGTTCTGTACCTTGAGAGAGAAAAAAAAATTGAAAGGTTATTTTATCAGCTGCTATGGACTCAGCCCCCAAATCATGATGGTGGTGATTGTAATTAGGCATCATTGAAGCAACAACAACTCAATAGTGACTCGAGGCAAAACATTGTTTGATCCTGTGTTTTCCCTGTGACTGGTTTTGGATGGGCTGTTGTGACAAAACAGGATTTTCATTACATTTTAAAAGTAGATTGCCAGGCCTTCATCTTAGTCTGGAAACTTCAGTGAAACCCGCTCACAGCCACAAACGAGCCAAAGGAGAGCTGCTGTGCTTGAGATGTACTGGCTGGTAACGGAGCCTAAGGCTCCTGCGTGGAAAGTGAGACATTTCCCACTGAATCCCCAAGGCCTTCATTCTTCCTCAGCTACTACAGATCCAGAAAAGGTAGGCAGAAGACAAACATAAATCCAATCTTGCACTTTTACTAGCAGCAAAATCCACCCAACCAAATCTGCTACTGCTGGGCTGATTCTGGGTTAACTAGCATTTTCTTTCTCCTCTGAGGGAAAATCGGTTCTCTAAATTTAGCCTGCATCAGCCATCTGGAAGGGAGGGGACGTCTTTAAAAACAGATTGCTGGGCCTTCCCCCCGAGCTTGTCCTTCTGTGGGCCTAAAGTGGGGACAGACACTCTGCATTTCTACGTTTCAGGTGCTGTGGGGAATCACACTTTGATATGCACAGATCTAATACCAAAGAATTTTATTCACCTGAAAGTTATGTGCCATCAAGTTAGAACCAACTCATAGCTCACTTTCCAATGGGCTGTCAGAGGCAGTAAATCACAAGGGAGGAGACTGCCCATCATATTTCCACAGAGCAGCTAGTGGATTCAGACTGCCTTTGGGTTAGCAGTGCAACTCCTTACCCACAGGGCCACCAAGATAAATATGCTATTCTATACACATCCCACCCTCTCCGCCCTCCTCCTCAGCAATTAAAGAGCTAGCCCTTTCTAATTCGGTCCTGTACAAGTAATGGTTAATTGTGTGCTACTGTCTGCATCATTGATAATTCTTACAGGACATTTGCTGAGACAGTTATATTCCCAGCAGAGATGAGAAAATTGAAACTCAGAATAAACTAATTATCCAAGGGTCTAAAAAAAAATTAACAAATGGTGATGACAGAATTAGAAACCCTACTCGTTTGACTTAAAAGACTTCTTCTTTTCTTCTACTACAATGATTATGTATTAGAATCACTAACGGGAATTTTATTTTTTTAAAAAATGCCTGCTAGGCACCAAATTCTTAACTAAGCATGGTATTAGGGCCATTTTTCAAAGTCTCTCCCTGAATTTAGCACACACCCAGGACTGAGTGGCTTCATGCTGGGCCCTGAAGGCTGAAGCTCATTTGGTGAAGGATTACAGATGAAGGTCCCTGGAGCACAAAAAACCAAATGAGAAATTGAGCAACCATTTATTGGTGGCCTCTTTTATACCAATGACTGGGATTAAAACACAGATCCTTAGAATTAAGGGTTTTACAGTGTAAAGGGGAGCCCTGACTACTCTAATCCTCTGCTCGGGTCTGTCTTTCCATAGTTTTCTGAAGTAACAAAGATAGTTTGTGTTCCCCTGCTTACAGTGCAATAGAATGTGGAAATTATCCAACAATATCATTAGTATCACATGCAAGCAAAATACTGCTCAAGATATTTTAAAATGACTAGAACAGGACATAGACAAAACCTCAGATGGATTCTGGTTGAAGGCAAAGATACCAGAAGAATGTCTATTTGTGCTTTATTGACTATACGAAGGCATTTGGCTGTGCGGATCATAACAGGTTATGGCTAACATTGAGAAGAACAGGAATCCCAGAGCATTTAACTGAGCTCATGCAAAACCTACCTACAAGCTGTTATGTGAACAGAGCAAAAGAACACTGTTTTTGTTGTTGTTATGTGCCGTCGAGTCGTTTGCGACTCATAGCAACCCTATGTACAACAGCCCTAAACCGTGCTCTATCCTGTGCCAATCGCATATCCTCTGACACACCCATCCCGATTACCCCAGTCACTGAATCAATCCACCTCATAGAGGGTCTTCCCCTCCTGTGCTGTCCCTCCACTCTACCCAGCATGATGTCCCTCTCCAATGACCTGTCTCTCCTT